AACATCCTCCAACTCACACGCGTAACTTTTTTTTAATCTACGTGATTATTGCGCACTGATTTGTCCCCCAATATGCTCCACTCATTCTCCCCCGTAAAACCAGGTGCCCGTATTGGAGTGGAGCGCCTTTCGCGCGCAGTCTGGGGACCCCACGATAGTTCCTTACCGAACTTCCTTAGTGACACGCCTCATTTATCCCGAATCATTTCAAAAGCCTGCATTTGCTCTACTCACCCTGTGGCTTTTTTTTCTGCTTTTCCTAAAGGATACCTGGGCGAAAAGTCAGGCGAGTTACCTTTCTCCGATGGAGGGAGGAGTTCTGTATCCTTACCAACTGGAGGGCGTTCGCTGGCTACGCCACTCCCTATATCAGGGCATAAACACCATACTGGCGGACGAAATGGGCCTTGGCAAGACTGTACAAGTGATTGCTATGCTCTACTCCCTGTTTAAGGAGGTATTTTCGCTTCATTTCCCTCCCTGTTCCTACACCTTTCACTGTGGTTCTTTGTACAGGTTCGTAAAAATGTCTTTTTTTCCTCTGTCGCGTCCTTTAGGATAAAAATCCTGGCCCTTTCCTGATAGTTGCTCCCCTCTGTACAGTAATGAACTGGGAGCAAGAATTCTTCTTCTGGGCTCCTGAATTGCACGTTGTGGTGTACGCGGGTGATAAAACCGTTCGAGCCATGATTAGGTGAGTGTTGCTCTCCCCTAAACGGTCAGTGTTTTGAGTGCCCACTTCGATTAGAAACCGCTTTTACTGGCGGTCTTCTTGCTCCTCGCAAAGAAGGGGCCGATTTATGTCTGGTAAATGCAGTTTTAAATGCTTTGCTGAGCTGCTATCTGTGCTTTCCAAAGTCCGGAGGAAATGTGCAAACCAGTAGTGTGCTCTAACGAAGTTGAATGTTGTTGGGAGTGCGTCCATTCCCACGATGAGTCACAGCACAGAAAGGCGTCGGAGCACAGCTGTCCCGCCGCGGCAGTGAGAACACGCCTGGCTGTGACTATCGACTTTTCTTCGTAGC